TGTGTGTGTGTGTGTATGTGTGTGTCTGTAATGACTGGCCTTTTGAGACCAATGGTGTTTTTGTACATTTTTGTAATGATCTTTTGGGAAAGTTAGCATCCACTACTTGACTCTTTTGTATTTTATAAGGATTCATAATAGGGGGTTTTTTTTCCCCCCTTTTCTTCATTATAATCACCAGATTAAGATGAACGGCCATCATTCAGGTGATATTATGTGTTTTGATTCTGGTTGGGATATTTTGCAAGTGGATACAAATTGTATAGAAAACACATGACTCATAAATCATTTCTACTCTGCGTTTGTATTTTATACTGAAAATCAGTTAATGAACTGTTACTGAAGTTGTTTCACCGCTGACATTTCCCTTTGCTACATGAGTGAATAACAGCTTATGATGTTTATAATGTCGGCTTGTGGTATGTAGAAAACGCTGCATCTTTTGTGCTTGTTTTTGTTTGATCAATAGACCAAAACTAAAAAAAAAAAAATCAGTTTAGAAAACAATGTCTCAACAAAATCGATTAGTTGCTGTGTTATAGCAACAAATCATACATCTTTGAGTATGAGTTTGAGTTTTGTGTAGAATTGGAGATGTTTTGAGTCTTAGCATCCATATCAGAATATAATACAGGCCCCCATTAAGAAATGCTGAGATTACGATGGCATGTTATTCTTTACTTTACTATTTTTTTCTTCAGTGAAATTCAGTGTATTTGATTAGGCATCCTTAATACCAGGCAACAGTGTGGTCTGACATTTATTCAGCTCTACATCAGCAAGGAGAAAATTAGCCAAATCACCAGGTTATTTAAAGGTTCCTTTCCATCAGCCTTCCTTATCAGAATAATCATCCTTCCGGTGGTTGTCTTTATCTCCCCTATCACCTTTCACACACTTGGTCATGTTGCAGCACCCAGTCTGCCATTTTACATTATTAGTTCCCTGTCAGGGGCACTCCCTCTAATGCTGAGAGGCTAAGGAGAATGAAGGTGAGGAAGATAGAAAGCGACGGGCCCTGCCTGCTCGTCGCTGGGGGAAGAGGAGGAGGCGGCGTTGACGTCCTAATCTCTGGCTCTGATTATCTTCTCATTACAATCAGACGGGAGCCACTCGACGAAGAGGAGAATGTGTAATTACGCTCAAATCTCCCATGACTAAAACAGAGAATAATAAGCAGGGCTAGAACTGTGTGCTCACATCAAATCATTCAGTTTATTTAATCATTCATTCTATGCCGTATTTCACTGTAGATGAAAAGTGGTTGAATTACCCGAACACCTGACTTATGGAAAAATTATTTGGGAGCCAGAAATAATTTTCCTCACTTTTGAAAAAAAACAAAAACAAAACAAAACAGAAAATCTGAGTGTCTGGTTTGATTTTGCATTTACGTCTTATTAAATATATCTAGGTCATAGATAAGGAAAAAACTTTAAGAACTGTTCCAGCACAAGGCAGAAAGCACCATTTCACAAAATGGCAGGCCAGCTGAGGCATGTAAATAACTGTATTTCAATTGACACATTGATTTGAATGGTAAATGGCTGACCTCCAATTTTCCTAGAGAGTGGCTGGAGGAAAGAAATGGAGGGGAATAAAACACATACCCAGTGGACCAAAGGGAATAAGGCTAACCAAGCATGTTAAATGTCCCCTCACTATTGTGCGATGGAAGCATTAGCTGTGTGGACAACTGCAAAAATCACTTGGAGAAGTTCTCACTGAAGGCTCGAGAGCAAAAACTGAATCTTATTTGTCCTTTTTTCTCTTCCCCCACAGCTCAGAAACAACAACCTGCCAGCAGCTCAAGCCTGATGAGAGGAAAGCTGTGGACACAAGGGACAGATATGGCTGCATCAAAGGAAACAGACGCAAACATCGCAGCCATCGCAGGGCCAGGAGGTGAGTTAGCCTTTGTGTTTTCACACATGCCAAGTAGCAATCCTTCAAAATCATCAGGAGGGTTTTCTGAACTAAAAGAAAACAAGTGCTTGTGAAGAGATGAGAAGGTTGAGAAAAGAATGGGCTTTAAACATGTACAATTGTTGATCAGTTGAGTTTTGTGATTAAAGTTTGTTTTGGTTGCGTCTGTAGATGATAAAGCCTTTTTAACAGCAAAACCAACACACCTTCAGGGCCTGATTCTCAACAAGAAATCCAAGCTAATCTCTATATTCCGGTGCAGGAAAAGCAAACACTCTTATCGGGGTAGGAAATACAAATGGTGTAAGGAATTCCACGCTGTGTCATTCAGATACAAGAGTCTTCTTCACATGCAGAGAAGAACAGTTTTTAGGCTTTTTATTCAGAGTTGGAGAAATCAATCCAGGCAGAGTTGGTTCTTTCTTTCTTTTTTTCTTTTTTTGGAAAGAAACCTTTTTAATTAATCTGACACCTTCAAAGCCGTTGCAGTTACACAGCAGGGAAGCAGGCAGTGATATGTAAAACATGACTCAAGCAGCATCTGAAGTGTAAGAGCGGATCATAAACATGAATCTCTTCTCTTTGGATGAACTTTACCCGGCGGCTGCTTCTCTTTGTTTTTGAATTTAACAGCAAGCGCAGAGAACACGCTGGCATGCAGGCTTCTGATAATCATTTTTCTGGTTTATGCGTGCAAGAAAAGACATCTGATAGAAGAAAGCACGGTGAGAGAGATTTATAGCATTATTATCTTTGGAACTGGGGCTTTTCTGTGAGACACCCTTCTCACCAGCAGCTCCAAGTTACAGCGTTTTAAAATTTAAATACTAAGAAATCAGAGTAGTCCTCAGTGTGCTGAGTGTACATAGTGCACATAGAACGTACACTAAAGCTCTACCATTGCTGAACCACAGTCTTTTCATCATTTGGTTTGGTAAACCTCTTAAATGATGACTTTACCCTTTCTTATACAGCAGCTCTGCAGCGTATCCATTTCATCAGACAGTAGCAGAGATGATCTTGACTTCATGCAGGGATCTTATTGTGAAACTGTAGGTCTTACTATATGAGGTTTAGAGCAATAAAATGAATGCATTTTCAGAGTCAAATCTTGCACAACACGGCTGCATTCAGACCAAAAAGCACAGCAATGCTAGAAGCTGCAGGAGGTTAGAGAGAATACTGCTACAAGTTCTAGCTGAGACGATGAAAGGAAGTCCACTTTGAGTAAAGCATCCATTAATTTTAATGAGATACTAAACTAAGTCAAACTCTCAAAACCTCATGCTATATCAAAAAAATAAAGAAATGAATTTTAAAAATTGTATCACCAGTAAAGTACTGTAAGATTACAGCTAAAGGTGATTAAAAACACGTTCGTTAGAGGCCATAATGAACAAGCCAGACCTCTCAGCTGTTTTGGCACAAGCCTGGTTCCTGTTCCCGTATTGAAAAATAAACAGGATTAATCATCACTCAGTTTTTATGCAGCACATATGTGGAACGAACTCCAAGAAAACCAGAGCTCTGTTTGTAATCAAGGAGACGATGTATTTATAGCATATCTACTCTACTGTCCTTTAAGCTGCCCAGTGTTAGATTTGATTTTAGTCTTTCATACTTACTTATCTGTGTTTTTGCTGTTTGTTACGTCGCCCTTATATTTCACATAAATGAATTTTGTGTCCAGTGTGAGGACTCTGTACTTGTTGAAGGTTTGAAGTAAATCTACCTTGTAAAGACTGCAACAATGTGTCCACACATTGTTAATTTGGACTATGTATGTGATTGATAATACAGTGGCATGCAAGATGACATGGCATTGCTGCTGCTTTCTAAAATGCATAACTGCAGGAATTTATTTTGCTTAATGTTACTTAGCAACAAATTCTTAGGTTTGTTTATCTATAATATCCACTCTTTTGCTTACATTTGATGTCTCCTGGCAAATCTTGTGGAGCCATAGATACATAGACATAGATAGATCCATAGTGCATATATCACTGCCGATTTGGTTCTATCATAACACACAATGTTTGGCAACACCGAAATCTTTTACCTAACCTTAATCAAACAATTTTACTTTCTAAATCGAAGCACAAATCATACTTGGAGGCTAACCCTGATCTCTGGGGTCAAAGACTATTGTTTTGTATTTCCAAAACCAACTTCTGCCACCAATATTTGAAATCCTATTCAGTAAATTCATGAATTGTTTCTCTCATTCAAAACAGTAAAAATAATTATGTTTGTTTTCTGATTTCTCCTCAAGACCTATTTTGCAATGATTTGTATTAGACGTATATAGACATGGACTGCGAACGACACCTTTGCAAATACTAGGAATATTGGAATTAAAGATTCATTCACAGAGTCATTAACAGAAATATACTAAGATACCAAAGCAAGTTCAGTGCACCTTGGCATTGTGTGAGCTCTGGGACACTGTTCTTCCACAGGATATTTCCTCATATGGGTGTACGGCTCTTCCTTCATTCCTCCTCCTCTTATCAAGTGACAAGTATATAAAACATCTAGAGTTGATTCCAAGTCTTGAGTTTACATTTGGTATCTGGTCTTTGTAATTCTCAGTATGAGGTCCAGAGAGATGTTGATGCACATGAAGGATGTCATTATTGGAAAATTCCAAATAATGCTAGAAGAGAGATAAGGAAAACTTTAAGAGTGGCAAAATCAACAATCTGATGCAAAGGAAAATTCACTGGCCAGCTCAGCAACACCAAAGAAAGACATGAAAGATGACAGACTTCAACTAAAGTGACTGGTCAAAGAATTCATTCCTCTATAAGTTAAGAAAAATCCCTTCAGAATGTTTATCCGAGTCGAGAACAGTCTCAAGGAGGTAGCTGTATCATGATCAAAGTCTAGACCATGACAGCTATGAAAAATATCTTTGAATAGATGAAATTCTTAGAACAATGATCAGAAGGAAAAAAAGTATAGAGAGGTAATAGTTCATGATCAGAAGCAAACAAGCAGTTAAACATGGTGGAGGCAACACTGTGGCATAGGGCATGTATGGCTGCCAGTGGAGCTGGGTCACTGGTGTTTTTCAAAGATGTGGCTACTGAAGTAGCAGGGTGATCTCTGAAGAGTACAGAGTTCTGCTTACTGCTCAGATTCAGCCAAATGTAACAAAACTGATCCGATGACACTTCACATAGCAAATGGAAAATGACCCAAAGTATACTGCAAAATCAACCCAAGAGTTTTCCAAGGCAAAGAATTGGATATTCTTCAGTGACCTAGACAGTCATCTGATCTCAACCCAGCAGAGCTGCTTTTCAGTTACTGAAGACAAAACAGAAGGAAGGGAGACCCTGAAATGAGCAGCAACTGAGGGCGGCTGCAGTAAAGGCCTTGATACTGGATACTTTCTTCAATTTGAAATCCACTGTAGAGCCATTACAATTAATAAATCAAAAACCTGCAGCATTGCTGTGTATGTAGAGATTGTACTTCATAAAGGTCAAGCTGGTAAATTCTATCAAATTATATTTATATTAAAAGACAAAAAACAAGGAAGAGAAACCCATGCATGCTGTTTTGACCGCAAGGTCAACTAAAAAGAGGAAACATAACATACCATAAAGCCTTAAAAACACACAAAAAAGCTATGTGATTACATGATATATCCTCCACAAGCCATCAAGGTTAGATGCATGTGTTTTTTCATTGGCTTTTATTAAAATGACTAACGAGCTAGATCCATTTCCAAATACTTTGTCTCACTTACAAAGCATTGCCTGAGAAAAATCTCTTTTGTTGAGAAGGACATTTGTTCTGTGGATTGTTATCTTGCTAATTGGCCTGCAGCAATTTGGCAGAGAAAAAAAAGTTAATTATAACATGAGGCCATAAGCCGCTGACACTGGATTCCATCTAGAAATAGTAAGTTGATGTAATGAGTAGGTTTTTGAGAGTAGTTGTTGTCAAATAACAAAAAGAGCAAAATGCAGAAGTAAACTATTTAGATTTATTTCCAGTGAATTGGGTATCGAATGAAAACAGTCTGAACTTCACTTGAAACATAGAAGTGTGTCTGGTTACAGCTGAAATAAACGTACTTCAGTGCTTCATGGGAGAGAGACATGTTTTGTTCTTTATAATAATATAGGTAATGACATCTTAGATGTAGTCACATACATGTATAGTCTTCATGCATAATCATGGCTCAGATTAAAACATCAATTCTTTAGAAAAAAAAGTTGAATTGAATATATTTTCATCAAAAGTTCCCCAAAAGCTCCCTTTCATACACCATTGTTTCACAAAATCACCACTCCTAGTGCAGCTGGCAATTGACTGCTTTCTCATTCTCCTTTTCATTCTCTCAACTTCATCAAAAGAAAGTGTTTCTGCTGGCAAGAAGAAATGCAAATGCTTGTCTTGTGCTCTCTTTCTACAAGGCCAGAATGGTAGAGGTGTTAATGAGTGACAAAGCGTTCTCATTACCAGGAGAGGGTACTTGGGCTTGGACTGTCTAATCAGCCCTAATGCATTTCAGTTCCTAATGCTCCCAAACTGCCGACTACTCCAAGCAGGGCCATTTATTATAGCAGGACACTCTTCTGCATCTGATGAAACAGGCACATACTCTCCAGAGCTCTGTGGTCGTATATATCAAGGGGGAGTGCAGTTTGTCACTGTCTGGATCAGTCCTGATCACACTCAACTATGTGCATGACCTCTGTTTGTGTAACAAGGAGGTACATTAAATTGGACACATAAATGGCAACAATTACCCTCCTGTAAGCATAAAAATGATTCCAAATATATCGTACATAGTTGCATCTGCAGGCATTTTGATAGCTTAAGTCAAATGCTGAGCAATGAAAATAACACCTGAATATTAGTAACATTATTCTATTTTTTTTAAAGGTTTCTCTTTTTAATGACAAGTTTCATTCACTTTGAAATATGTGTGTGAATATATATATATATATATGCACACACAC